CTTGAGGCGCCGCAGAACTTCCCGACGTTGCTTGAAGCGCGTCCACCATAGACTTTGTATGTAAACCTGCTGCCTCTGACGCTGAAATCGCGTTCGGTGTGAACGCACCATTAGAGTTTGTCCAGTGTCCTGAGATGACCTTTGTTGTTTCCGCCTCCACCATTTGCAGACATCATCTGCCAGGCCGGACCTTGAATGGGCCAGTCAGGTACTAAATTCCCGGGCCACTTTTTTTGCCCCAGTCCACCCCTGCTTGATGCCCACATCCTGGTTTAGATAATTATGATTAGCAGATAAAGTGAAGAGGAAATGTATCAAGTTCACAACTGATAAGATTATCGCGATTTTAAATATTATTATGCATCGTGAATTTTTCTTATATCGTGCAGCCCTACTAAAAATAACTTTCTTTAACATGCATCATGTCTTAATTGTAACTTTGTTTATTAAATTATCAAAACTACTTCTCTAAGGTTGATACAGCCGTAAAGAAGAGGAAAAGACTTTGTTACAACAATACCTTTGAAATTTTTGATCACTATTTTCTTCGAGGCGCCACTTTTGCTGGACGTCCTGGCCATCCCGTTGGTTCCATGTCCCGCAAGAGCCGAGAAGCTGGACCGCTTCTGTCGAGTGTCCTCTGCCATCATCAGATTAGGCTTAACGCTGAATATGGTTCRAGTGTTGTTGTTGTTTTTAAGTTTACTGTGTTTGTTCTGTCGCCCCGTGTGTTCGCTCTGCCTCTTCCGCCGAATCAAAATGTCTTTGGTTCAAAGAAACTCGCCGTCTATTTAAAACTCAAACACTGGCAAAGAAAAGTAACACTTAACGGTAGTTAATTAGGAAAAACTATTAACTACCGACGGCTAAGTAAACACAGCTTTGCTAACAGTGTGTTATCTAAAACTGCAACACACTTCGGCGACCCGTTTTAGTCTCATTTAGCAACAGTTTAGCTAATCCATGTCAGCGAAGACTACTTACAGGACTTAACCCGCTTAATTACTGATTTATACGAAAGTGAACAAACATATAAAAGCGACATGGCTATCGCTGATATTCCAGACTCGTGTTTCTGGTGTCTGTCTTTACCATTTAGCTGGCTAGCATAACAAAATGGCTTTTCGGCTTGGACAGGTGCATCTTGGGTGAAAAGCGGCGACGGTGCGTTCATGAACAATTAGTATTTTTACGTTCGTTTACCTTGCAACTATTTTTTTCAAATGCCGGAAAAGGTTAAATTTGCTTTAAGTGTTGTTGGTTAATACTAACAATWATACAAACAATAGCTATCAAATAATTRCWAAAAGGCTGCTCGAGAACCGAAATRTRCATAATAATRTGTTGTTAAAATAGTAAGATGTTACCTGTTGGTAGCTTTAGCAAAGTTTTAAAAACTTGTTGTAGTCAGTAATATTGTGGATATTAGTAATTTAGATAATTTTAATATTTGATTTTAAAAGAGCTCATGTTGTTAAAAAGTTGTTGTAGATTTTCCGATAGTTCTGGGTGACATTGAACGCATCTCGGGATCACCTGCAGGCAGTCATGCAGGGTTCAGTTTAGCCAGCGCAAATGGGCGGTGTTTGTGTCCTGGAGAAGACTTGACCCACTAAAGTGTGTGTGTGTGTGCCCACCTGAGCACTATCATGGCTRCACTGGCGTTTAATTGTAAAATCATTCCGTGACGGCTGTTTTCGGAGCACTACGGGTCGCCTGTTGGTGGTGATCCGACCCCGGCCTGCCTTAGCTGTTTGTCCGTTTTCAGCGGTAGGTACGCTGGCTGCTAACCCTCGAAAACACCGCTGCAAACTCGGGCAGGGGTAGCTAGAACATCATCTAGAAATGACGATTATTTGYAACTGCAGTAACAAAACAACATGGCTAGATCGTAAACACACAAAGAACAGCTTTATAGACTGATAGTAAATGTTGCTCAGCTAACAGTTAGCGATAGCGTTACCTTTGCTTTTTAATATGTTAGCTAATATCGATAGCTTCACTGGTTAGCCAAGAAGGCACTCACTAAACATGTAAAGTAAAGACAATTATTAATTGTCATTTTATTAAAAACACAACAAGCACTATAGCTACGATTTTCTCCTATGGGTGCGACCAAACATCTCACATTAATGTTTTCAAGATAACTTTTTTTTGCTTCTGTCTTTAGTCGCTTGATTTTTAAGGATGCTAGCTGATGCTAATGTTAGCTGCTTGAGCTAAATGGAGATAAATCGTACGTAAACGCATAAAACTGTAAGCTACAATTGAAAACATTTAAATATACATGTACTGAAATCTGCAATCCTGTTGTGATTCATTGTGAGTTAAATGGCTGTGTGACAGTTTCAGGAAGTGTTTGTTTGAAAGATAGGAAAATGCAGTTTAGCTCAATCTCATAGCATGACCTATGTTCTTAGAATCAGCCCATGCTACATGTGTAAATAATACTGTATTTATCATTGGTTTGTTGGAATGTTTTATTGTTTTTTTTTGATGAGACTGACAACTGAGATAACCTTCCGAGTTAACATCTTAAATAAGAGTCTGAAACAAAACTCTTTAGCTGCCTAAAATCACCAAAGCATGTTTAATATCTCCAGTATCTTCTGTGATACTTGGAAAGATGCATCATCACAGGCAAAATGCTCAGCAGTGTACTCTAAATGTTTTATTTTTGGTTCTGTGTGTGTTGTTTTGTCAGTGTTGTGTAAAGTTCCACAAAGTGATACTTGAGTAAAAGTACAAGTATCTTATCATAAAATTACTTTGCTAAAAGTTAAAGTTTCCTCTAAGAGCAGTGGTTCCCAAACTTTTTATTTTCTGACCCACAAAATATTCATGGCAAAAACTTGTGACCCCAAATATTACTGGTCTGAGTACACGAACTTCGTTAATAACTCTA